GGGTCGTACAAGCCGTGATGGCCAACCGTATGCATAGACCAGGTCTTGACGGATGTCCACGAAAAAATTTGGCATTTTTGACGTCGGAATCCGGATCACCCAAAAAATGTTGTGCTATAGCACACGAAAATCGTCGAAATGAGGCGTATGCTCGCTTCGGGGCTCGTTTGACCCTCCAAATGGGCTGGACAAGCCGTGATGGCCAACCGTATGCATAGACAAGGTCTTGACGGACGTCCACGAAAAAATTTGGCATTTTTGACGTCGAAATTCGGATCACCCAAAAAGTGGTGTGCTATAGCACACGAAAATCGTCGAAATGAGGCGTATGCTCGCTTCGGGGCTCGTTTGACCTTCCAAATGGGCCGAACAAGCCGTGATGGCCAACCGTATGCATAGAAAAGGTCTTGACGGACGTCCACGAAAAATTTTTGCATTTTTGACGTTGGAGTGTGGATCACCTCAAAAATGGTGTGCTATAGCACACGAAAATCGTCGAAATGAGGCGTATGCTCTCTTCGGGGCTCGTTTGACCCTCCAAATGAGCCGTACAAGCCGTGATGGCTAACCGTATGCATAGACAAGGTCTTGACGGACGTCCACGAAAAAATTTGGCATTTTTGACGTCGGAATCCGGATCACCCAAAAAATGTACTATGGCACACGAAAATCATCGAAATGAGGCGTATGCTTGCTTCGGGGCTCGTTTGACCCTCCAAATGGGCCGGACAAGACGTGATGGCAACCCGTATGCATAGACAAGGTCTTGACGGACGTCCACAAAAAAATTTGGCATTTTTGACGTCGGAATCTGGATCACCCAAAAAATGGTGTGCTATAGCACACGAAAATCGTCGAAATGAGGCGTATGCTCGCTTCGGGGCTTGTTTGACCCTCCAAATGGGTCGGACAAGCCGTGATGGCCAACCGTATGCATAGAAAAGGTCTTGACGGACGTCCACGAAAAATTTTGGCATTTTTGACGTCGAAATCTAGATCACCTAAATAATGGTGTGCTATAGCGTACGAAAATCGTCGAAATGAGGCGTATGCTCGCTTCGGGGCTCGTTTGACCCTCCAAATGGGCTGGACAAGCCGTGATGGCCAACGGTATGCATAGACAAGGTCTTGACGGACGTCCACGAACAAATTTTGCATTTTTGACGTCGGAATCCGGATTACCCAAAAAATGGTGTGCTATAGCACACGAAAATCGTCGAAATGAGGCGTATGCTCGCTTCGGGGCTCGTTTGACCCTCCAAATGGGCCGGACAAGCCGTGATGGCCAACCGTATGCATAGGAAAGGTCTTGACGGACGTCCACAAAAAAATTTGGCATTTTTGACGTCGGAATCCGGATCATCCAAAAAATGGTGTGCTATAGCACACAAAAATTGTCGAAATAAGGCGTATGCTCGCTTCGGGGCTCGTTTGACCCTCCTAATGGGCCGGAAAAGCCGTGATGGCCAACCGTATGCATAGACAAGGTCTTGACGGACGTCCACGAAAAAATTTGGCATTTTTGACGTCGGAATCCGGATCACCCAAAAAATGGTGTGCTGCACACAAAAATCGTCGAAATGAGGCGTATGCTCGCTTTGGCTCGTTTGACCCTCCAAATGAGCCGGACAAGCCGTGATGGCCAACCGTATGCATAGACAAGGTCTTGACGGACGTCCACGAAAAAATTTGGCATTTTTGACGTCGGAATCCGGATCACCCAAAAAATGGTGTGCTATAGCACACGAAAATCGTCGAAATGAGGCGTATGCTCGCTTCGGGGCTCGTTTGACCCTCCAAATGGGCCGGACTAGCCGTGATGGCCAACCGTATGCATAGACAAGGTCGTGACGGACGTCCACAAAAAAATTTGGCATTTTTGACATCGGAATCCGGATCACCCAAAAAGTGGTGTGCTATAGCACACGAAAATCGTCGAAATGAGGCGTATGCTCGCTTCGGGGCTCGTTTGACCCTCTAAATGAGCCGGACAAGCCGTGATGGCCAACTGTATGCATAGACAAGGTCTTGACGGACGTCCAAGAAAAAATTTGGCATTTTTGACGTCGGAATCCGGATCACCCAAAAAATGGTGTGCTATAGCACACGAAAATCGTCGAAATGAGGCGTATGCTCGCTTCGGGGCTAGTTTGACCCTCCAAATGGGCCGGACAAGCCGTGATGGCCAACCGTATGCATAGACAAGGTCTTGACGGACGTCCACGAAAAAATTTGGCATTTTTGACATCGGAATCCGGATAATCCAAAAAATGGTGTGCTATAGCACACGAAAATCGTCGAAATGAGACGTATGCTTGCTTCGGGGCTCGTTTGACCCTCCAAATGAGTCGGACAAGCCGTGATGTCCAACCATATGCATAGACAAGGTCTTGACGGACGTCCAAGAAAAAATTTGACATTTTTGACGTCGGAATCCGGATCACCTTAAAAATGGTATGCTATAGCACACGAAAATCGTCGAAATGAGGCGTATGCTCGCTTCGGGGCTCGTTTGACCCTCCAAATGGGCCGGACAAGCCGTGATGGCCAACCGTATGCATTGACAAGGTCTTGACGGACGTCCACGAAAAAATTTGGTATTTTTGACGTCGAAATTTAGATCACCCAAAAAATGGTGCGCTATAGCACATGAAACTCGTCGAAATGAGGCGTATGCTCGCTTCGGGGCTCGTTTGACCCTCCAAATTGGCTGGACAAGCCGTGATGGCCATCCGTATGCATAGACAAGGTCATGTTGGACGTCCACGAAAATTTTTTGCATTTTTGACGTCGGAATCCGGATCACCATAAAAATGGTGAGCTATAGCACATGAAAATTGTCAAAATGAGGCGTATGCTCGCTTCGGGGCTCGTTTGACCCTCCAAATGGGCCGGACAAGCCGTGATGGCACACCGTATGCATAGACAAGGTCTTGACGGACGTCCACGAAAAAATTTGACATTTTTGACATCGGAATCCGGATCACCCAAAAAATGGTGTGCTAAAGCACACGAAAATCGTCGAAATGAGGCGTATGCTCGCTTCGGGGCTCGTTTGACCCTCCAAATGGGCTGGACAAGCCGTGATGGCCAATCGTATGCATAGACAAGGTCTTGACGGACGTCCACGAAAAAATTTGGCATTTTTGATGTCGAAATTTGGATCACCCAAAAAATGGTGTGCTATAGCACACGAAAATCATCGAAATGAGGTGTATGCTCGCTTCGGGGCTCGTTTGACCCTCCAAATGGGCCGGACAAGCCGTGATGGCCAACCGTATGCATAGACAAGGTCTTGACGGACGTCCACGAAAAAATTTGGCATTTTTGACGTCGTAATCCGGATCACCCAAAAAGTGGTGTCCTATAGCACACGAAAATCGTCGAAATGAGGCGTATGCTCGCTTCGGGGCTCGTTTGACCCTCCTAATGGGCCGGACAAGCCGTGATGGCCAACCGTATGCATAGACAAGGTCTTGACGGACGTCCACGAAAAAATTTGGCATTTTTGACATCGGAATCCGGATCACCCAAAAAATGGTGTGCTAAAGCACACGAAAATCGTCGAAATGAGGCGTATGCTCGCTTCGGGGCTCGTTTGACCCTCCAGATGGGCCGGACAAGCCGTGATGGCCAACCGTATGCATAGACAAGGTATTGACGGACATCCAAAAAAAATTTGGCATTTTTGACGTCGGAATCCGGATCACCCAAAAAATTGTGTGCTATAGCGTACGAAAATCGTCGAAATGAGGCGTATGCTCGCTTCGGGGCTCGTTTGACCCTCCAAATGGGCCGGACAAGCCGTGATGGCCAACCGTATGCATAGACAAGGTCTTGACGGACGTCCACGAAAAAATTTGGCATTTTTGACGTCGGAATCCGGATAACCCAAAAAATGTACTATGGCACACGAAAATCATCGAAATGAGGCGTATGCTTGCTTTGGGGCTCGTTTGACCCTCCAAATGGGTCGGACAAGCCGTGATGGCCAACCGTATGCATAGACAAGGTCTTGATGGACGTCCACGAAAATTTTTTGCATTTTTGACGTCGGAATCCGGTTCACCCAAAAAATGGTGTGCTATAGCACACGAAAATCGTCGAAAGGAGGCGTATGTTCGCTTTGGGGCTCGTTTGACCCTCCAAATGGTCCGGACAAGCCGTGATGGCTAACCGTATGCATAGACAAGGTTTTGACGAACATCCACGAAAATTTTTTGGCATTTTTGACGTCAGAATCCGGATCACCCAAAAAATGATGTGCTATAGCACACGAAAATTGTCGAAATGAGGCGTATGCTGCTTTGGGGCTCGTTTGACCCTCCAAATGGGCCGGACAAGCCGTGATGGCCAACCGTATGCATAGACAAGGTTTTGACGGACGTCCACGAAAAAATTTGGTATTTTTGACGTCGGAATCCGGATCACCCAAAAAATGGTGTGCTATAGCACAGAAAATCGTCGAAATGAGGGGTATGCTCGCTTCGGGGCTTGTTTGACCTTCCAAATGGGTCGGACAAGCCGTGATGGCCAACCATATGCATAGACAAGGTCTTGACGGACGTCCACAAAAAAATTTGGCATTTTTTACGTCGAAATTCGGATCACCCAAAAAATGATGTGCTATAGCACACGAAAATCGTCGAAATGAAGAGTAAAAGAGGAAAGAATATTAATAGTTAAGATGTACTAAATAATTAATTATAAAACAACACTTGTATAAAAATTCAAGAAACTTCATTTGAACGAAACGAACTATATATATTCAACATTTCATAATTTATATTGTAAAATTAACAACAAACTCTCTTACAAGTTGCAACAACACAATATTACACATGCTATACTTGCTACCAACACAAGAAGGACACACCTTAGAAAATTACAACATTTGAAATATAAACAATAATAAACTCTTCTTTACAAGACAACTTTTCATAATTTATATTGTAAAATTTATTTAGCTATTGGTTTAAAAAAACCATATTCAAGATTGACTATTTTCCCAATATTGATTTGATCCACCAAAATCCTTTAGTGTCCTTTGGGGCATCTTCACCATCTGGTGGAGGATCAGCTTGAGGTGTCTTGTGAAGTTTGCTCACATCATATCCTACTTCTTTTGCCTTCTCAACAAGTTGGTTGTATATTTCTTCATCAAGATGTGGTTGCCTACATAATATCTATAAACCAGAATAAACATTTTGTTAAAAACATATAATATGATCAAGCAGAAGATATCTATAGATAAATCTCCTCGGAAAACATGTTATAAAACTATACTGAATAACTTACTTATAAGACTATTGAATAAGTTGTTATTGTATCTTAACTCCACTTAAGTTTATGATAAGCATTATGTAACTAGCTTCCTCCCAAATATTCATATCCAACCATATGTTGTTTTTCAAAATATCAACAACTAAGGTTTAGTGAACTTACCCAAAGATATTTCTTACTAGGCTGACCAATCAAAGCATATTGATAATCATCATCAATATATAAAACCCAATAATCACCAACAATAGGAATAATTGGCAAGAAAGGTGGGATATAAAATTTCACTTTAAGTTTTGCTTCATCACTTTTTGGATCAGCTTTATAGGCAGTCCCTTCAATTGAACCTCTTTTACCACCACTCCATGTTTCATTTAACACATGTACTGTTCCATCTTGGTTTAAAGTGTAAGTGGCTCTTGTGTTTACACCATCTTTTGGTTGATTTCTTGATGGAAATGAGGCAATTTCATACCATCTTCCCATGTATTTTTCAACATCCAAATTCTTCACTACTTCCATCTCTTTTGTGGTCATATTTTTTTGCAAAATTTCAAAGTGTAGTATAAGGGTTTTGGTCTCTTTTGAATTGGTTTCTTGATAAGGTTTAAGGTGATGGGAGACAAATATATAATGGTGAAATAGGGTGGAGTGTCAAATTTCAAGAAAGTACTAGTGTCTTCTTTTCCAAGAAAAGGGTTTTTGTAATATTAATTTCTTCATTTCAAAATTTATTTGTAATATTTTTCTTTTTAATTTGTTTTAAAATAGAAGTATCCTTTTTTTGGTGTCAGTTGATTGATTATTTGAGCTTTTATCTTATTCGTTAAAATTTAATTCCCCATTTTTTCCTTATCTTACTCCTAACAAAAATAATTTACTTAAAAGATAATACTTTCCATGTAATATTTTTAAAATTATGAGAGTAGATAATAATATTTTACATATTTTAAATTCACAAAATTGACAACTTTTTTTGCTTTTTTAGATTTTATTTCAAACTAAAATCAAACAAACAAACAATACAGGATTTTAAGTTTTTTTGTTCTTTCAGAGATTGAATTCTTGATAAGGTTTATTGGGATGAGGAGATATTGTGTGCTGTGAAATATTTGTGGATATAGACGTGGACATTCAAGCACCTTACAAGTGTAATGATTGACCTTTTTTGGCAGATTGTTCAATGGCAGGTTCTAGAATTCTGTTCAATATAATACAGTGGGCTGTTTAAATTATTTTTTCATTTTAATGGTAATTTCTTTCTTTTAATAATACACATCCTAGAATACAAAATTATTCTAGAAGGTGATTGTTAACTTAAGACATTCTGAGATTATTATTTTTAGTAAATACTGGTAAATCAACTTAAATGGTACACTTGATATATTTCATTTTTAGAATACAGCTCTTTCTTTATTAAACTGGAACTACACGCATTTCACCTAGCATTAGAGAACTCAAAATATAGAATATTGAAATATAGCTGATCTCAAGTCCCAACTATTTGGGATGGCCATAGTTGAGGGGCTATGTTGAGTATATTATTGACATGTTGTTATAAGTAACAAATACTCTCTATTTATCAATTTAAGTTTTTAAATGATATGATCACACGATCATTAGCATTTTGCAATGCGAGGTCTATTAGTCACGCAAGAACTCATTGGCTATGTAAGTTTAACAGAGAGACAGAGACACAAAAGCCTCATTCAACTAGAATAATCAAGGTAACAGGGAAGGCTCAGATTCTCTTTTCTCAAAGAGCTTTAAAACTGGATCTTTTCTCTTAAAATCTCAGGAGGAAAATGTCTGATTCATCTTTCACAAACAACAGTCTTCATAGCCTCTAAAAAAGTGAAACAGAGGGAGTACTAAATCAATCAACTAAGGGAGGAGGTTTGGCAATTGGAAAGAAAGAAAGACATAAGGAGACTGAATCATACATCATGGAGGAAACACTTCAAGCTTCCTCCTTTTTTGAGACTGCTCTGTAATCCAAAAGAGCAAAGTCCTGAAGAGCGAAGAAAGGGCTATTTGAGATGTTTACAGTAATGGAGAAATTATTGGCTAATGCAGATAGAGGCAACTGCCCTTTCAACAAAAATCCACTAACTCTCCGGGGCCTCATTTTATCCCTTGCGAGCTTTCTTGTTGAGAAGAGAGAGAGAGAGAGAAGAGGCAAAAAAGACTCAAGTTTAGAATGCAGGAAATGAAAAAAATAGTCCCTTGTGTTTGAGAGTAGGTTCAATGTAGCCTCTTAAGCATGCACTGGCCTGTTTTGGTCTTCTATATTTGTCATGGAACCAGTACCTAAATATTCAGATTAATTCAAGAAAACTTCTAAAAGATACTGTTTCAGCCATCAAACGCAAGTTAAACTGAGGTAAGGAGGCTCAGACTTTCGCCTATTTAATCAAAGAGCAGAGCTTAACCAGCCATGGCTGCAAATATTGGTTGCCTCGTGAGAAAGGACTACAAGAAACCTACTATTTCTCATCCTTCTTCACAGACCTTCCAAGTTGTCTTTGCCAAGCCAGGCCTTGGACTTTACTAAAACATTTTCAGTCTTATAAAGATAATCTTCATAGCCTCAGTATTTTTGGATTTTCAAGATATTGAAAAGGGCATCAAATTTGAGGAAGAAAATGTGACACTTCAACTGAAAGACAGATAAAATCTTGTCATGTTAGTAATCTTGCACAGCCAAAGCAACTGCTCAAAGGTCATTTTTCTGACAAATAATTAAATAGAACAAAGAGCACAAAACCTTCTGAGTTAAATTTTGCCTTAATTGGCAAAGACAACACTCTACTGCTTTGACTCATTCCTGCAGAGTTCAAAGTCTTACTTTTCAAGATAATATAGATAAATGTGGCAGGTTTAATCAAGTTACACATGAATATACTTTTCTAGCAATAGCATGAGCTGGCCAGTTTTGTTTGTTATAGAGAGAATTTAACAGGAGAGAACCGTAAAGTTGCAATTCATGGGTTCATATACTTCAAGTATCAAAAACAACATAAGCAACCAATCTTTATGACAGAATTTTCTAAAATCAATAAATTGAGGTTCAGATCTGTGTTTACCTCTGGCAGAAAGAGAGTTCAACGATGCCATGGCTGCAAAAACCAACAGAAAATGTGGTGCATGCACTTCCAAGATATGGGTCAAATAATCTCAAATGCCCGATTACTATAAGCTTAGGAGGGAATGAAAGATGTACAAAATCATCATCGCCTCTTTCCATCAATTATACTCATCGCCACCTGAATAACTTGTCTCAAAGGCGGATCCAGGATTAACTTTTCTCCGGAGGTGAATCCAGACTTTGTTTATTGGGCTATTGATAGATTATTACACATTTTAGCTGAAGTTAAAACAAATACAAGGTTTTGGCCTAGGTTTTGCTGAATTGATACCTTCCAAACATCAGAGAAAGTACAACAATTACATACCCAGTGTAATACCACAAGTGGGTTGGGGGAGGGTAGAGCATACGTAGACCTTACCCCTACTTTGTAAAGATAGAGAGGCTGCATCCAATAGACTCTTGGCTCAAGTAACACACCTCAAAACAGCCTGGCAACACCATGACAGAGAGAAAGTGAGGCTCAGATATGTAATAAGCTCGAGCAAAAAGAGTCTGGTGATGCCATGGCTGCAATAACCACCAGAAACTCTGGGAGCATGCCCTGCCAAGATACGGGTTGGATAATCTCAAAGATTGATTGATAAGCACATAAAGGTAAAAAAGATTTACAAGATCCTCATTTGCCTCTTTCAAGTCGTCAATTATGCTCACCACCACCTGTATAACTCTAACGGCTAACCAGTCTCCAAGCAAGCAAACCCTAAATACAGATATATTTTTCAAACTGACATAAAGGCTCAGATCTGTTTTTAGGTCGGGCGAAAAGAGAGTCCAGCAATGCCATGGATGCAAAAACAACCAGAAAATCTGGGAGCATGCTCTGTCAAGATACGGGTCAGATAATCTCAAATGCCCGGTTAATCAGTTCAAAGGGGATGAAAATTCAACAAAATCATCATTGCCTTTTACAAACTATTGATGATACTCGCCACGTACACCGCCAAAATTCAATGGTCCAGCAGAAGCATTTACAAAAGAGAGAATAGATGGCATTAGCATGCATAGCATGAAAGGATATGAAACCCTTAATAGTACTCCCTCAGTAAGATTGATAAAAAGGCTGTTGAGATTCTTACATTGATTGGACTCACCACCATCGTTTCTACCAGTCCCACCAGCAGCATTCAATGCTCCAGCAGAAGCATTGAAAAAAGTAAAAAAAAAAAGTTGAAGGGCACACAGAAACCCTCTGCAAAAATATGTAATAACCATCCAACAGAGCTCCTAACAATACACTCAAACAACAACAACAAATAACAACATTCCCAGTGTATCACACATGTGGGATTTGAATGCAACCTTACCCTGCAGAAGGTCTGTTAATAATATATTCCATCTGTTAAAGTTGATACAAGGATTGTTGGGTTTCTTATAGTAATGGAGAAATCATTGGCTGATGCAGAGAACGGTAACCACCCTTTCAATGAGAAATCTCGTAAGCACATTGTAGCCTCATTCTTTCTGTTTTGAGCTTTTGTTTTGTACATTTCCCTAACCTTTTGCTTCCCCAAACTGATAGAGAAAGTGAGGCTCAGATCTGTGTTAAGCTCAGGTAGAAAGAGAGTCCAACCACACCATGGCTGCAAAAACCACCAGAAATGCTGGTGGCATGCCCTGCCAAGATACGGATGGATAACCTCAAATGCCTGATTAATCCGTCATAAGTGAATAAAAATTGACAAAAGTCATCATTGCCTCTTTCAAGCCGTCCGATTATACTCACCACCATCGCTTCCACCAGCTCCACCAGAAACATTCAATGCTCCGGTGAAAGCACTAAAAAAAAAAAGAAAAAAAAAGTTGAAGGGCATAGAAACCCTTTGAAATGTTATGTAACAACCATCCAAACAAGCTGTTAATTATATACTCCCTCCATTTAAAATTTGATAAAAGGATGGTTGGGATTCCACAGTAATGGAGAAATCATTGGCTAATTTCAGTGAGAAGCAACCACCCATGGAACAAAAACCCTCAAATCCCTGTAGCCTCATTCTTTCCCCTCTGAGCTTTTGCTTTATTCATTTCCTAGAACTTTTATAACTTAAAATTGACTAAAGGGTTATTGGGTTTCTTACAGTAATGAAGTTCAGTAAATTGAGGCTCAGACATGTGCTTAAGCTCAAGCAAAATGAGAGTCCAACCACGCCATGGCTGCAAAAATCACCAGAAAATCCAGGAGCATGCCCCGCCAAGATACGGGTTGGATAACCTCAAATGCCCGATTAATCAGCTCAGAAGGGAACAAAAATGGACATAAATCATCATCGCCTCTTTCAAGCCGGCCGATTATACTCACCACCATCGCTTCCACCAGCTCCACCAGCAACATCCAATGCTCCGGCCGAAGCATTAAAAAAAGAAAAGAAAAAAAAAGAGTTGCAAGGGC